TAAAATAGGATAATAATGTTACACTCTCAAGATTTTGAGAGTAAAATGAGATGTTATGTCAAGTGTTCACCATATCTGACATACATCAGTTCTCAAAATATTAGCTATCATTATCATCATCACTACATTATGTATTGTCAAAGAGATCCTGTAAGATCGAACTGTTGGGGGTGGGGGTGGGGTGTGTGTGTGTGTGTGTGTGTGTGTGTGTGAGAGAGAGAGAGATTGTCTAATATATAGAGGTTATTATATTGAGCCTCCTGGGAAGGAAAAGAATAAAAACCTCAAATTTCTTTCAAATATTGAAAATTACTTAAATCTGTCAGGGAAGTTCTGACAGATTTAAGTTATTAAGTAAAACAAGACAATGAAGGCCCATCTGATGACGTTAGAAGAGAAAAAGACAGATCTATTATTCTAAGTGTCCTGTCCAATCATAATAAGAACAGGTGGAGCAATGAGACAGTAACCAAGAATTGAATGAGTTGGAATGATGGAAACCCAGGTCAACTTTAAAGTACAACACTCCTGGTTTATCATAACTGGGTTATTTTGCTTGCTTGTTTTTTTTGTTTGGGGGAGGTGGTGGCGCACATACTGCATTCTGTCATCTTTCCTCCTTTAAGTATTTTACCAGTGTCACGTAGCTATTAAGTAACAGTGCCAAAATTCAATCCCATATTTGCCAGACCCCAGTATTCAAACACTAATTAATACAATAAAAATGCTTTCTGACAATCCATGGGCAGAAAGATGAGTTCATATTTGTCATGCATATATATATGGTAGTAGAACTCAGATGATACACTCTAACCTGCAGGAGGTCAACTTATGGAAATTATTTTTAAATATTCAGAGTCTACCAACAGTAAATAATAATAGAAAGCAGAATCAACATAAAATTGAATCCTAAGAATCCATGAACTAAAAGGTAGTCAAGTCTCAAGCAAGTCCTTAAGTTTAATCTGAACCTCAGTTTTCTCTTCTGTAAAACATTTCTCTCACCTATTAGGATAGCAGGGAGAAAATAAAGCACATGAAGTACAAACAATAAATAGTACTTGGTGATCCTCAATAAAGAGTAGAGCTCCTATCATCATCATCATCACCACCACGCCTTAACAATTTGATACTAATTTTGAATAGCAATACAGGAATGCATGCTTAAATAGTAAAATTAAAATATTTAGGTTCCACATTCAATATTCTTTAGTGATACTCAGTAACTTAGAAAACATCTCACTACCTCCTTATTCCTGGTCTATGAAAAAAGTGAAAATGTGCTGATTATATTTGGTGATAGTATTTTAATTTTTTCCCTCCTATATGTTAGTTTAATAACTCAATTTATTTCTACAATTCACATGCAATTTAAATTTTCACTGATATGTTGCTTAGTTGGCACATATCATATATTTTACATTAAAATTAAATAACTAAGTAGTAATAAGAATAACAATTAACAATGATTCCTCCTTTCTTGTCCATGAATAAATTATCTTTAGAAATCAGAGAAGAAACATTTACAGTATATCTGGAACCTGCTGTTGAATCTTTTTTTAAGAACTTAAATTCACCAAAAATCTGTTATCTCAGCTTAAGTCACAGGGCTCTGAATCTATCCGTTGTTCAAAGAAACAAAGAAATCAATGATAGGGAAGAAATACATGCTTCATATACACGTCTTCACTCAAAAAAAAATACAAACTGGGAGCATACAAAAAATTCTGGTTCAGCTTTACTAAGAAAAACAAGCAAAATAAAATATACTTAATTAAACAGAAAACAACCAGCCCTGTAATCTAAATCAAGTGATTAAAAGTCATCTCAGATAAAAATATATAAATTAGCTCTGGCCGGTTTGGCTCAGCAGTCAAGAGTGTCGGCCTTCCGACTGAGGGGGTCTCAGGTTTGATTCCTGAGGCACGTACCTGGGCTGCAGGTTTGACCCTTGGCCCTGGACAGGGTAGTGCAGGAGACAACCAATTGATATCTCTCTCCCACATCAATGTTTCTCTCTCTCTCTCCCCCTCCCTCCCTTCTATTCTATCTGGAAATCAATGGGAAAATATCCTTAGGTGAAGACTATTAAAAAAAAAAAAGAGCCCTGGCCGGTTTGGCTCAGCGGTTAGAGCATCAGCCTGTGGTCCCGAGAGACCAAGGTTCGGTTCCCGCTAAGGGCATGTACCTTGGTTGCAGTTTGTCCCCGGCCCTGGTCAGTGGTGCGGGTGGCAGCCACTCAATGTGTCCCTTTCACATTGATGTTTCTCTCTCTCTCTTCCTCTCTCTCCCTCCCACTCTACCTGAACAAAAAATGTCCTCAGGTGAGGATTAAAAAAAAAAAAGAGAGAGCCCTGGCCGGTTTGGCTCAGCGGTTAGAGCGTCGGCCTGCGGTCCTGAGAGACCCGGGTTCGGTTCCTGCTAAGGGCGCGTACCTCGGTTGCAGTTTGTCCCTGGCCCTAGTCGGTTGTGCGGGTGGCAGCCACTCGATGTGTTCCTTTCACATCGATGTTTCTCTCCCTCTCTCTGTTCCTCTCTCTCCCTCCCACTCTACCTGAACAAAAAATGGAAAAATGTCCTCGAGTGAGGATAAAAAAAAAAAGAAAAAGAAAATTAGTTGTACTTAACATCTTTAATCATTAAGAGGGCTGACCCCGATTCAATTCACAAACTAGACCACTCTCCTTATGTGCACATTTAGCAACTTTCACTGAATATAGAACTCTTCATCCAGAAACAACATGGTATAATTTAATCATAACTCCAAACCCATTCTTTTTTCCACTATGTCACAAATGGAAAGATATATCAGCCACTCTTGTAACTTTACATATATTATCCCATGTATTCCTTACATACACTAAGAGGTGAATTTATCATACCCAAGGTCACATATGTTATACTTGGCACAGGCTGCAGTGTCTGATTTCAGGTAAGCTCCAAAACAATAAGATTCTGGAATTCTCATCTTTCTTTTAAATAATAGAATACTGTTTCCCATTTTTAGACTCTTTTCTAAAGTAATAATACCAAGATAATTAAGATTCACAAAATTTTTATTATTTATTTATTTTAGAGGGAAAGGACAGGAGAGAGACAGAAACATCGATTGATTGCCTTCTTTATGCGCCGACTGAAGATCGAACCTGCGACACTTCAGTGCACAGAACACTGCTCAACCAACTGGGTCACACTGGGCAGGGCAAGAAACCTATCATTTTAAAAACAATTTCCAACTAAATGTAAGTAATCAGCATTCTTTAGATTGGCAAATTTATAAATCTACTTCATAACTTTTAAAAACATGTTTTTCTTTTAGTAAATATGTTTTTTATTGATTTTAGAGAGAGAGGAACAGAGAGGGAGAGAAAGAGAGAAACATCGATCAGCTGCCTCCTGCAAACCCAGTACTGGTGATTGAGTCTGAAACTTGAGCATGTGCCCTGACCAAAAATCAAGCTCAAAACAATTTGGTGCGTGGGATGACACTCCAACCAATTGAGCCACACCAGCCAGGGCCACAAAAATGTAAAACCAATATAATACTAAAGCTAAAACAGAGAGAAAAAGATGGGCATCACAGCCAGTTTTCTTTAGGCTGGGAAAAATTCAGAATCAATAATGAAACAAAACTAACGCATGATCAATATCAGGAATATGCCTTTGGTATCCCAGGTCAGACTGGTTTTTCCTGTTTTGTGTGTATGTGTTTTGCACCTCTCAACCAAAACAGGTGTTTCAACTACAACTCTGTGAAACCCAAATGAACAAGTACAGACAAGTATGTGAACAAGTGAAAAGTTCTCTTGAAGTCATACTCAGGAGTGGCATGGTAAATTTATAATTTTTCTTATCCCTTGTTTTGCCATGGTATACTGAATTAGTTAATAATGCAGAATTATCAATGTCATATATTTCTTTTTTAAAATTTGTTTTCAATAAATACATTTTATTTTTCTATTTTTTTATTATCATACATTTCTTTAATCTACTTACCACTTATTCACAGCAGAAGTCAAAGACTAAATTTAAAAGACAAGAATGTGACATGTTTATATAGAAAATTCTTTCTAAAGCCTTATTATTAGATAGCTTCATATTTATAAAAAATGATTTGCAAATGTTTACACTGAGAATTTATCCAAATGGTTACGGATAACCCTAACACTGAAGTTTTTTATTTTTAATTATTTATTTATTTATTTATTTTTATCCTCACCCGAGGACATTTTTCCTCACCCGAGGACATTTTTCCATTTTTTGGTTCAGATAGAGCGGGAGGGAGAGAGAGGAAGAGAGAGAGAGAGAAACATCGACGTGAAAGGGACACATCGAGTGGCTGTCACCCGCATGACCAACCAGGGCCGGGGAAAAACTGCAACTGAGGTACATGCCCTTAGCGGGAACCGAACCTGGGTCTCTCCGGACCGCAGGCCGACACTCTAACCACTGAGCCAAACCGGCCAGGGCTATTTTTAATTATTTTTTTCCTTAATTGATTTTACAGAGAGAGAAAATGAGAGGGAGAGAGAGATAGAAACATCGATGAGAGAGAACACTGATTGGTTGCCTCCTGCATGCCCCCACAGGGGATCGGGCCCACAACCTGGGCACGTGTCCTAACCAAGAAATGAACCAGCGACTTCTTGGTGCAAGGGTTGACGCTCAACCACTGAACCACACTGGCTGGACTGAAGTTTTTAAATATTAGAATTTTACAATCCAATGTTATTTTAAAAATTATTTTTACCTAGATCATATGAACGGCATTTATTATGAAACAAATACTAAATATAAAAACTGGGATTTGTTCTGCTAAAAGTGGCATATTTTGTTTTAGTTAACAATTAAAAATATTTATCATAGCAAATTCGCTTAGAAATAAAATTATTTCAAAAATTTACTTCTGTACTGCTTTAATCTTTACCACCCAAACAAGTACAATTTTTAGTAACACACATTATGTCTTGAGATAGATGGGTAGACATTGGAAACCCTACCTTGTGCTGTTCAATAGCATCTATCCACTGTTGTCTGTGATCTGGATCCTGAGCACGAAGATACCAAACGCTATCATTTACACTAATATCAAATCGACATTCATCAAAATCGTGAGGCTATGGAGAAAAAGTAGAAAATGAAAAAGAAAACTAATTATATTCTTAGAAGTATCATACTCTACAACAAAAACATAAACATACCCATTCTGGCTGGTGAGACACTCGTTATTCTTTTGTTTTTCTACTCAAATAACTTTTTTGAAGATGTCTCAGATGAAGAACACAACAAGGGCTTAGTTACCAAACATTAAATTTCATTCATCATTCCTACAAAAGAGTTGACACAAACAACAAACATCTTTCAAAGAATGAGTGAATATTTTTCATCAAATGCATTTAGTTAGCTTAATTACGGGAACGCTACTGAAAGCACAATAAAAAAAGGCCCAAAATAAGTCTTACGAAAGACACTTATTATGTTTTCCTGTCTCCATTATTCAAAAGTAAATTCTTACCATGAAGCGTTTGATTTCATTAAATTTTATAAACAAGATATATTCTATCACAAAATATTGTTAACATTTCCTCCTAAATATCTCAAATTAGCTTGTAGGCTTTTATATGTCTTTGATAGTAACAGTCAGGAGAACTTTCGATGGAAAGCAAATATAAAATGAACATTACATCAGACCTATGTTAGAGGAAACTGCCTGCATCAAAATGTAAATATTTAGTAAAAATGTCAACTATTTGCTTCAGTGTTTCACATTATTCATAAGAATATATAAAATTAATATCTTATATCCTTGTTTTTTGCCCAATAAATGAATTAAAATATAACAGGATCACATCACATACGCTATGTCTTCGTCTACCAGATAGAGTACAGGAAGTCATCAGTGTAATAGTAAACTTATTACCTGAAGAAAATCTACACATTGTATTTCCAGGGTTTACTGTTTATTCTCTTCCTCCTTATCAGCATCAATCTTTTATCTCCTTATCAGTTTCTTTAGCAAAATTAATATAACTCCACAGTGTTTTTTAGCCTATGAAACAATTTTTTTCTCTCTCTCTTTATTGATTTTAGAGATTGGAGGGGAGAGGGAGAGATAGAAACATCAATGAGAGAACGCCAACTAGCTACCTCCTGTATGCCCCACTCTGGGATTTGGCCCACAACCTGGGCATGTGCCCTGACTGGGAATTGAAACATGGACCCTCTTGGTTCACAGGTTGACACTCAACCACTGAGCCATACCTGCCAGGCTGAAACAATTTATTTTAAGATTAAGACAGCAAATTCCAGTTCTGACTGGCTAAAGTATACAAGTTAAACATTTTTTGAATCACTATGTGCTGGGCATCATAGTTAGGACTATGGTAGGAGGTAAGTGTGTTGGAACGACATCAAAATTAAAAACAAGACAATGCACATACCATGTTCAATAATTATGAACACAGAAATACATAAAAGACATTCAATACTCATAAATACAATAATGACTATAAATTTAACTGAATGCCAAATATTCAGAAATCTTTAATAGAGTCCAGTCATTGAGAAAAGCTTCTTGGAGGAAGGGAGGCATATACACTATCTGAAGAACCAAGTAAGTAATTTAATTAATCAATTTACTATTGTTCTAAGTAGTCTGAGGATCTGCTTTCTTTCACTGTATTACTGTTTGCTTTTTTTTTTTTATCCTTGCCTGAAGATATTTTTGCATTTATCTTCAAATAGAATGGGAGGGAGAGAAGAAGGAAGAGAGAGAGAGAAACATCGACGTGAGAGACACAGACTGGTTACAACCCACACGACCCCAACAGGGGCTGGGAATAAACTGCAACCAAGGTACATGCCCTTAGCAGGAACCAAACCCAGGACACTCTGGTCTGCAGGCCAACACTAACTGCTGAGCCAAACCGGCCACGGCTATTGTTTGCATTTTTAATAAATTTATGTAAATGGAATCAGATAGTACGTATTCCTTTATGCTTTACTGTTTTTATTCAGTGTAACAATTTCGAGACTCAACCATTTTGTGGTGTCCCACCAGTAATTCATTAATACTTATCAGGTATAAATGGGGCTGAAAACAAGGCAGGTTGAAAGTCTACATATGATACAGCAATAGCTCTTCTTTACAAAAAATATAGTACAATCAGTTAAGTTTTCTACTTGGTTGACTTCCATAAAACTACATCCCACTCAACCTGAACTGTGGTACTACCAAAACCTCTCCTAGCATATTCTTTAAAATTCTTTAGGTTATTAAAATTTCTGAGTTTTTCTAATTGTTTTATTGTTTACCCTCATCATAACTGTATATATCTCAGATAAGTTCACAGAAGTTCATTTCAATAACAGTAAAGGTCTAATAAGATAACTACCATAAAAAGGAAAAAAAAAAGTAAGAAACATTTAGTCTGCCTAGATACCATCTCTAAAAATAGTCAAATTATCCCTCTAGCAGAAGACTAGAGGTTTTTTATTTGGGTATTTTGAACTAAAGAAACCCCTAAACTAAGGGCTATCAAGGAAAGCCGAAGAAAAGGGTGCAATATTTAAAGCAGGAAGATAAGGAAAGTCTATATACTAAGCAGTTAAGACTCCCACTGCCACACCATTCTAATACCCAAAGTAGCCAAGGCTCCTCAGAGAAATGGCTGATTACAGGATTGAGGCAGGTAAGGTATATGATGAATTTGGAAAATCGTCGAGCCTCAAAGTAAAGAAGTGCTTTGTGTGTGTGTGGCGGGGGGAAGAGGGGTATCCACAGGGGAATGTCAAAAGAAACAAGCTTGAAGGGACTTCCATTAGCCAAATATAGGACTATTTGATTGTCCAAATACATAAATACAGTAACAGATAATAATCCAGAGTAAATCTAGAACGAGTCCTGTTGACAAATGGAAAAAGAGAAGGCTTTTTTGGTGTGTGTTTTGTTTTTTTTAATAACAGAATGCTGCCCTGGCCGGTTTGGCTCAGCAGTTAGAGTGTCCGCCTGTAGTCCGGAGAGACCCGGGTTTGGTTCCTGCTAAGGGCATGTACCTTGGTTGCAGTTTGTCCCCGGCCCTGGTTGGTCGTGCGGGTGGCAGCCACTCGATGTGTCCCTTTCACGTCGATGTTTCCCTCTCTCTCTCTCTCTCTCTTCCTCTCTCTCCCTCCCACTCTATCTGTACAAAAAAAAAAAAAAATAACAGAATGCTGACTGATAAATGTGAAAGGAGTTTGTAGAGTTGAAAAATTGCCATTTTGCCAATTAGAAAAGACTGGGTGGGGCAGGTACCATAAATGGTTGAAAAATCAAAAGGCCCTCTTCCCTGACCTCCAGACTTTTACTCAGTTGCCTCCTCTATTATTTTCTCTTGAATGGTTCTACATAATTAGGCACTACTACCTCTTTGTCTTCTTTTCTACTACTTTCCCCCTTGTCTACTCCACTCCAACAATATAGGCCTCCTTATAGTACATTCCCTTGTCTTGAATCAAACCCGCAACTCATTGGTCCGCGGGCCGACGGCTCTAACCACTGAGAAAAACCTGCTAGGGCTAAAAAAAGGAGTTTTAATAAATAAATTAATATAAACATCTTTTGATATGTTATACTCTACCTAAAATACATTTTGCAAAAAATAACTTTAACTTCAATCATATTCTTCAATAATTCTAATATAACCTGACAATTTCTGAAAATTAAATCCACATCAGAAATAAAGATTTGTGATTATTCAACTGACAGGCTTTTATGAAAGCATTGTGCTAGGCACTGGGAATCACAAACCAGTAAAAGAAACTTCATTCAAAATAATATGATGACAGAGTCCCAAATATTTGTGTAATAATAACACTACTGAAATGTTACAGAACTTTACCAGAACTTCTTTGATTTATAATTATGATCAAAGAATATTTTAATGATCTTAACTTGGCATATAAAACTGATTCTTTCAGAGTCTTCTAAATAGTAAAACAATTTGGTAACTTGAAAATATTCATTAAGTAATGAATGGATAACTGTGGTCCATTTATTCAGTGGGATAGTACTCGGTAACAGAAGTTGGGGATACAGCAAAAACACAGATGACTCTCAGAAACATTACACTAGGTGAAAAGCCAGACACAAAGAGCTGCATACTGTATGATTCCACTTATACAACACTAAGGTAAGGGCAAAACTATAAGAACAGTATTTTCCAGAGGTTGGGGAGGTAACTTACTATACAATGGGGAAGGAAAGAACTTTCTGGAGTGATGAAAATTGTCTATATCCTGATGTAATGATTACATGATCATTTACATTTGTGAAAACTATATACACTTAAAAAGGGTGAATTTACTGGCTATAAATTATATCTCAATAAACCTGATTTTTAAAAAGATATGTTTTTATTTATTTTTTAGAGAGAGAGGAAGGGAGAGAGAGAAACATCAATGTGAGAGAGAAACATCAATCGGCTGCCTCCTGCACGCCCCTACTGGAGATCGAGCCAGAAAGCCAGGCATGTGCCCTGACCGAGAATTGAACCAGGACCTCTCAGTCCATGGAACGATGCTCAATCCACTGAGTCACACCTGCTGGGTGATAAATCTGATTTTTAAAAAGCTATAACATGCCTCTTTAATACTGGAACAAGGAAAACACATTCTGTCGGGAACATGCAGAAAGTATATAAAAAGTTAAATATATATATAGTGACCTTTTTACCTTCTATACTACTACTTAGTCCAGTTAATACTTCCACTAGGTCTCTTCCTAATCTCTCCTTTCAAAGTATTCAAATCAGTTGGTTGGAGCATTGTCCCTTACACCAAAAGGTTGCAGGTACTTACAGGACGCAACAGATCGATGTCTGTTTCCGTCTCTGGCCCCCCCCCTCTCCCCCAATCAACAAACATATCCTTGGATGAGGATTTTTTAAAAAGTATTCAAATTATTTCACTTTCCTACCCATTTCTTTGACTATGTACCACAGTGAAAGTTCTGGAGGAGCATCTGAAATCTTGATCCATGGCATATGTCCTCAGTTTGACTTCAATAAACAAAAATTCTCTACAGGTTTGGACATTTCTTACATTGACATTTACTTGTCATAGTCAGCAGGATTCCAAA